GGCACCGGTCACAGCGCACACACGCCCCGTCCGCGCCCCTCCTCGGCGGCGCCGGGGGCTCTTCCTCCTCTGGTACAAAGCTGCTCGGGAAATGGCATTTCTCCCCGGAGCCACAGTCAAAAGCAATTCTCCTTCTTTATTTTTTATTCATTTTTTTTTTCTTACGCTCGTGTGAAAAAGAATTCATTTCCTAAATATATATTTTCTTTTTTTTTTTGGTGTGTGCGTGCGTATGTGTGGAAGCACCGGGCTCCTACGATCGGTGTCTGAATGAAACTACGTAAATGCATATGTCTGTACGTTACACTGGAGGGAAAAACGGAGCACTTCTGCGAGAGCTTGGATTCAAATGTGGTTCATCTGGTCTCCAGGATTTTCCGTCTCTTTGGGGTTGTTCGCCTTCCCGGGCTGCGAGGCGGGATTTTCTGAGCTTTGACACATCTTTGGAGATGTCTGTTAAACAGGAGTCTGGGAAAAAACATTTGAAATCGTAGATATAATTTTTTTTGTCCCTTTCCCATCCCCTTGGTGACTTGAAGCATCAAATCAAAGCGGCCAGAACTTAACGTTTCCGAAGACTTGTGATGTTTGGGTTTTGTTGTTGCTATTTTTTTTTTTAGAGGAAACTTGACAGAGGAACATATTTATAGTCCAAGTAAGTACTTTACAGAGGAAATTTAGTTTGTGTAACTTAACAAAAAAAAAAGCAGTGTTGAGGTTTCTAGCTTAAAGTGCATTGGATTAACGTTCATCCAAGGCTGTTTAGCAAATCGTATTGAATTGCAGTTTTTACGGTGTGTGTTCGTCTGCTCCTTTGTGTCCGTGGTAGTTCAGCACCTAGGGGAAAATGCACCTGATTTTGAATCAGTATAATATTTTTTAAGATGTATTTCAACACCAAGGAGGAAATGGTCCTAAACTAAATTTATAATAAGTAATAAATGTGCACCTGGAAGTAAAGTATTTACAGCATTTTAATCCCTATTTATACCGTGCATCTCAAACCGAGGAGGAAACACTGAGAAGACAAAAGTACCTCCGAGACCCTGAGAACTCCCCCACACCACCATGAATGAAACCGTGCCCGATACAGTAACTGGATTATAATTTTTGGTGTTATTAATTTTATTATTATTGGCTGCTTTACTTTTTTGGGTTCATCCTGCTCCTCTTCTTCCTCTCTCCCTTCCTCTTGCTGCTTCCACTTGGGAATTATGGCTCATCCGGGGAGAAGAGGCTACGATAACCGGGAGATAGTGCTGAAGTACATCCACTATAAACTCTCGCAGAGGGGATACGACTGGGCTGCCGGTGAGGACAGGGCACCCCTGTCTCCAGGTCTCTCTCCTCCTGCTGCTGCTGCTGCGGTTGCTGCTGCTGCTGGGACTTCCTCGGATCACCCTGGGCTGGTGTCTCCGCACCCCGAGCCCCCCGGCTCGGCTGCTGCTAGCCACGCACCCCCAGCTGAGGGGCTGCGCCCCGCACCCCAGGTCGTCCACCTCACCCTGCGCCAGGCAGGGGACGAGTTCTCCCGCCGCTACCAGAGGGACTTTGCCCAAATGTCCTGCCAGCTGCACCTGACACCCTTCACGGCCAGGGGCCGCTTCGTGGCGGTGGTGGAGGAGCTCTTCCGAGACGGGGTTAACTGGGGCAGGATCGTGGCCTTCTTCGAGTTCGGCGGCGTCATGTGTGTGGAGAGCGTCAACCGGGAGATGTCTCCCCTCGTAGACAGCATCGCTGCCTGGATGACCGAGTACCTGAACCGGCACCTGCACAACTGGATCCAGGACAACGGAGGCTGGGTACGTCTCTTGATCACTTCTTCCCCCTCCCAGCTCTGGCCCATGGCTGGTGGGGCTCCAGGGTGGACAGTGCCAGGCGGGTTGCGCTTGAGTTGTGGGGAGCAAAAGGTTTGTCTCGAGGGCATCTGCCCTGGTGTGTGCTGAAGCAGTGTAGGCCTTTTGCCAGCTGTGGAGTTTCACCTCGTTGCGGGGTTATGGTGGTGCGGTTTGGGGTGGGGGGTGCACCTACAGCTCGGGAGCAAAAAGGGTGAGCGAGGCACCCTCTTCATCAGCAGTGTCTGCTCTCCTATCCT